CTTCCTCTCCCTTCCTTGATATCTATAGAAACCACAGAATGAGAACACGAATGTTGGGGGGGGGGAGAATATAGAAACATAGAGCTGAAAGTGATCCCAGGGGTCATCTAGTCGATGCTGCTATACTCAGAATCCAATCCTAGGGACACTTTCCTGAGAGTAAACACCAGTTTAATAACGTGGTACTTTCTTCTAATTAGGATTCCTCTCTTGGTGACCTATTTCAGCCTCTGCTGTCCCCTCCCCCCACTGAATCCCATGAGTGGGAAGGGTGTTCCCGCACCGGGAAGAAGATACTTGGCCCTTATTTATTTAATTCGTTTATACCCCATCTCTGTCCCCAGTGAGGACCCACAGCGGCCTAGCTCATTCCCCTCTCCTCCATTTTATCCTCGAAACAACCCTGCGAGGTGGGCTAGGCTGGGAGTGCGTGACTGGCCCAAGGGCACCCAGAGAGCTTCTGCGTCAGAGGGGGGATTCGAACCCGCGTCTCCCAGATCCTAGCCGCACACTGCAACAGGACCTCCTTCCCCGAAGGGCATAGAATGCTTAGCCGTGGGCGGCGGCAGGGTGTGGCCTGATCCTAGGATTCTTTCCTCGGAAGCAAGTCCCGCTGGAATGCGTTGCTGCTTCCCAACGAGTGCATAGAAGACACCAGCCCGAAGCTTCTTCTCTGCTAAACCCCCCGAGCCTTCGTGTTCCGGATACTCCAGCCCAGGCCAAGGCGACGGGACCAAATCGAACAATTTTTAAAAAGGGGGAGGGGGGAAATCACTTATTTGCTATGACCCCCCCTCCCCCGGCCCCCAATAAGGCCAGGAACGGAAGGACTTGAAATGCAACCGTCGCGGAAGTCCGCCTCGCGGGTTTCAACAGATCCTCAGCCAGTGTTCCCTCTAAGCTGCGGAGTCTTGTGAGCAAAAATTCTACTTTGTGAGCTAGGGGCATTAAAGTTGTGAGCGAGCGATTTGGCTGCTGCATAAATTAGTTTGCTCTGGAGCCATCCTTCCTGAGCTAAGACAGAAATCTGTGAGTTGGAGGCTAAAAAACTGTGAGCTAGCTCACACTAACTCAGCTTAGAGGGAACACTGCTTAGATGAAGAAACATCTCAGTATATTAAGCAACACTTCCAGTTTAAATGGATTGTCAAGTACTGGTCATACTTAGGCATCCAGGTACCTTTGAGACTTCAAGATTTATTCCAAGCTCACACTAACTCAGCTTAGAGGGAACACTGCTTAGATGAAGAAACATCTCAGTATATTAAGCAACACTTCCAGTTTAAATGGATTGTCAAGTACTGGTCATACTTAGGCATCCAGGTACCTTTGAGACTTCAAGATTTATTCCAAGCTCACACTAACTCAGCTTAGAGGGAACACTGGCCTCAGTACCACGGCCCCCAGAGCCAGTGGGATTCGCACCGGCGTCCAAGAAAGCGCCACGTGGAACCCGGGGAGACCTCCGTAATAGCGGTAAAAAAAAAAAAAACCGAAAAAACCCCACTCTCCTCCCCCCCCATTTAAAGGGAAGGTTTCCCTTTAAATGGTTGGGGAAAGGCGCGTCCAGGAAGTGATGGCGTCGTCCCCCCTCCTGGGAGGAACGCCCCTTGATCCCCCCGCCGGACCTGGCAACCCTCATGCCCGGAGCGCGTCTCCCGGTGGGCGAGGGAGGGAACGACAGCAGGATGAAAACAAACATGGCGGAGAGGAGCAAGACCGCAGACACCGGCAGTGACCTGGGCATCGATGACGTTATAACCGGGAATCTAAGCAAGTATTCTGCCGTTCCGCCAGGTTACTACGGGCAGCCCAAAAGGGGACATCTTCTATTCGACGCCTGCTTTGAAAGCGGCAACCTTGGACGTGTGGACCACATCACTGAATTTGAGTATGACCTGTTCATCAGGCCGGATACGTGTAATCCTCGTTTCCGAGTCTGGTTTAACTTCACCGTTGAAAACGTGAAAGAATCTCAGAGGGTCATTTTCAACATTGTCAACTTCAGCAAGACCAAAAGCCTCTATCGGGATGGCATGGCTCCGATGGTTAAGTCCACGAGCAGGCCTAAATGGCAAAGGCTGCCGCCCAAAAACGTGTATTACTACCGCTGTCCTGATCACAGGAAGAACTACGTCATGTCTTTTGTTTTTTGCTTTGACCGGGAGGAGGATGTGTACCAGTTTGCTTACTGCTACCCATATACCTACACTCGGCTCCAGCACTACCTTGATAATTTACAGAAGCGGGACATGGACTACTTCTGCAGAGAGTGTCTGGGATACAGCGTGCAACAACGGAAACTTGACCTCCTGACTGTAACCAACCCTGTAAATCTTCGCCCTGGGGTAGAGCAGAAAGTAGTATTTATTACAGCTCGTGTCCACCCTGGAGAAACGCCATCGTCTTTTGTGTGCCAAGGGATCATTGATTTTCTTGTCAGCCCACACCCCATTGCCAAAGTCCTGCGAGATCACCTGGTCTTCAAGGTAGCACCTATGCTTAATCCAGATGGAGTTTATCTTGGCAATTACCGGTGCTCTCTAATGGGCTTTGATTTAAATCGGCATTGGGTAGATCCTTCTCCTTGGGCTCATCCCACACTACATGGTGCCAAGCAGCTCATCGTTGAGATGTACAACAATCCGAAAATTAGCCTCGAATTCTACATTGACATCCATGCTCACTCTACTATGATGAATGGATTTATGTATGGGAACATTTTTGAAGAAGAGGAGAGGTTTCAGAGACAAGCTATTTTCCCCAAGTTGCTCTGCCAGAATGCGGAAGACTTCTCCTTTTCTAGTACCTCTTTCAATCGAGATGCTGTTAAGGCAGGGACAGGACGTAGTTTCCTTGGTGGCTTACTGGATGACACCTCTTACTGCTACACACTGGAAGTCTCGTTCTATAGTTATATTGTGGGGGGTACCACTTCTACAGTCCCATATACAGAAGAAGCCTATATGAAATTAGGAAGGAACGTGGCCAGAACTTTCTTGGACTACTATAGACTAAACACCATTTCAGAGAGACCTTTGGCTCCAATCTGCAGCACATGGAAGGACAAAGCATCCTCCTATCGATATGGCTGCAGTCGGGGCCCAGGGAACAACCAAGCTGTCAGCAAGCCAGAAAAGAAAACCCACGCAAGTCCTAAGGAGAACATTAACTCACCATAAAGCAGTTGAAGCCACATAGCATTCAGAAACCTGAATCAACACTTTAAGGCCATCTAGAAAACAGTGTTCGTGCAGCATGACAGGTTTTTAGTTTAAAAGGCAAGTTCTCTGTGATGTTGCATGATTTCTGTATTTCTTGGTCTCAGATTGCAAGCATCATTTGAAATTGATGTATGTTGTAGTAATTAATTTACACGGATTCAGGCATGCTCCCAGGTACATTGTGACATATTGGGGGATCCTCCTCTGATTTCTTCACTGGTTCTTTTGTCACACACCTAGAGCAAAGAATGGTAGCATGTATATAAAAGTGTTTATGCATCACTGGAACAACTTTAAAGGACCTGAACTTGCTGGCTAATGGAATGAGTTACATTTTGTTTAACATCACAAAGGCCTGTGTCTTTGTATCAGATAATTCTGCTTCCAAAAATATGTCTTAAAGACTAGAGGATCAGAAAAAAGGAACATGAGAACAAGCAGAAGTCAAAGAAAAAACATGGTCCTGTGTATCTGGACAGTGGCATGTTCTACCTTTTTGATTCCAGTCTACAACCTACACTCCCAGTCTAACTGTGTACATGTGTTAGAAAACCAGCAATGATACTACTCAGCTATTTGGTGGGGAAAGGGAGTTCGGACGACTATAAATCCAACCCTATTCCAAATAACTTATAAGCATGCTGGCCAGTTTTCTGTCTAGCTGTAACAACAGAATTATGGGTACTGCTATACACAACCATCGGGTTTTGCATGCAGTTCCTTATCCAGCAATGAATATATGGACTGGAGCACCTGCTTCTGCACTCGTATGCACTTCAGCTTAATCAGACAATTCTGTTTGAGAAGTGGAAAATAGGAAACAAGAAATGTATTGACCCTATAGAAAAGGAAACTGGTAAAAAAAAAACACCACCCTAATTCCATATAATAATTTCAAGGTTTATGATTAAATTGTATGCATTTTCAAGGGGGGGGGAATATTGTATTGTACTGAATGCAATATATTTAAACATCACATTTCTGGTGCCTTAGAGGCTATAAGCACAGTAATGAATAACACCAAGTGTTTGTTAATTAAAACGCCCTTTCCAAGGTGTGGTTTAAAAGGCAGGAGAACTCCAGGTTGTTTCCAGTGGATATTGAGCGGACGGGGAAGGGAGGAGGGATGATCTCACTTGATTTGCCTCCTTGCGAGTATGCCCCTGTCCCACCATTGCCTTCCATCTGTCAGGGTTCCCCAGCTCCCAGGGGGTCCAAGGGAAGCTGTTGGGAGAAAGGGAAGCCACCCCCACCAGCAGCACACCGATAAGATTCGCATTCCTGTGATGTCCCGCGAATTAATCTTTTTGTTTGTTTGTTAGTGTTGAGTTTCATGAGGTTCCAGCTGAAGACTTGAAAGTCTGGTTTCTGGGACGCATGAGAGGAAATATCATTTTAACATGTTGAATTAAACAAAACCTTGCAAATATTGCTGCTTTTTGAATGGATTCATTTTGTGTTTATATATGAGACCAGGAAAAACCTGGCAGTTTGCTCTTGGAGTCTTGAATAAAGAGTTAACTAAAAAAAAAAAAAAAACCCCACACACAAAACCGAATCCTCCGCACAGATGACAAACACCGTCCAGAGGGACTAACGTGCAGGAGCTGCAGAGCTCAGTAGTTCCACTTAACTCCGCGCTGCGTGTGGCTCAGCTACGGTTCCCAACGTACTATTCCCTAGGAAACAGTGCTGCGCGCGCACCCCTACCCCCAAACAAGCATGCGAGCCTTCGTGTGCCGCAGAACTCTTCTGCAGGCCGGGTGATAACCAAAAAACGGGGAAGGGGAGGAGAGGTTTTAGAGGCCATCCAGGAGACTGGCTTTTTAATACATTCGCTGAGGGGTGCGCGCGCGCTCACGGTTTTCTTAAAAATTATTTACTTCATTTATACCCCACCTTTCTCTCCAATGGGAGCCCAGAGTGGCTGGCAGTGTCACCTTCTCCCCTGTTTTATCCTCACACAACCACCCTGTGAGGTAGGTTACTGCTGAGGGGTGCGTGTCCGGCCCAAGGTCACCCGGCGCGCTTCCAGGGCAGAGTGGGGTTCGAACCTGGGGTTTCCCTCCTTCTAACGTTTTCCAGCCCTCTTCAGCCAGGAAACGGTTAGTGAAAGCATAATATTGCAAGGTTTCCCTTTCTAAGGCCCAATCTGCATCTAGCGGCTAAAAAAAGGTGCCGCTCAACACCACATTCAAATGGGGGGGGGGGGGACCCCAACCCAACGAAAAAACCCCCCCCCCCCGCCAACCAAATGAGAAAAGGCGAGAAGGGCCAGGATCCCGCGGCAGACCCCCCCCCCTCCAAGCTGGCGAGGTGATTGGCCGGAGAGATTTCGGGAGCGAGCGAGCGAGCGAGCATTCCCCTGCGTTGACCCGCGAGGATTCCGCACCGGCGGCTTTACTGCGCCCTGGGAGCGGGCGGGCGAGCGGGCAGGCGGCTCCGCGCTGAGTGAGATCCGCGGTGTCGCCTGGCCTCCGGGCCGGAGCGGGCGTCTCCCCCACCCCCCTCCCCGAGATCCTGGGGTCAGGGGCCCCGAGGAGAGGCGCAGCGCCGCCGCCGCCGGGGCACGCGGAGGTGTTTCATTATCATCCCGCCGCCGCCGCCCCCCAAGTTTCCTGGCCGGCCGACAGAGCGCGCTTCCTCCGGCACTCGCCGCGTCCGAGGCGTCGCTCGGGGCTGCTCCCCGGGAGGGAGGGAGAGGCAGAGTCGCTGCCTTCTGGCGCGGGGAGGCCCGGCGGCGACGGCCCTTCGGGGGAACATCTGGCCAGGGCGGCCCACCGGGCGGGGGGGGGGGGGCGGGGGGGAGGGGCCCCCTTCGACCTGGAGGGCGCAGCTAGCCCAGACTCCTCAGATCCGGCAAGCGAAGCAGTCCTTGGATGGCAGACCACCCAGAGAGGCCCTGGGCTGCTGCTACTAAGGCATCTCTGACTGGAGGGCTCCGGCCTTGAAACCCCCCTGAAGGAGGGGGGGCATAAGTCCTTGCAACTTGAGGGGGGGGGGGAGGAACCTTGATCCTCCCTGGGGCACACACACACATGGGCACACACCTTGCTGCGGAGAAGTGGCTGACTGCCTCCATTTAGGCCCTGAAGAGCCCCCCCCCCAACAAAGGAGCAGGCCTGACTATACCCCACCCACTTGCCTATCCAAGGTGGCCTCCTCAGAAGGAGAGGGAAGCAGTCAAGTGCAGCTTTCTCTCTGGGGGGGAAGGCAGGCAGAGGCACAACTGTAAGCCCGGGTCAGTTTTAAGTGCTCTCCTGGCATCCCCTAAAGGAACTTGGGCAGTTACCAGTTTTGAGAGTGCAAAGATCTGCCGTTAAGAGAGGCTGACCCTTTCCACAGGAGGACATCCCCCCCCCCCCCAATTAGGGCCCTGGGACAAACCATTTTTGGTTTGGACTGAGGCCATGGAAAGTGAGCCTTTCCTCTCCATAGAAGGGCTGGTCTTGCTTTTAGCCCTGAGCTGGCTCCAAAGAACTTCCTGTTAAGGATATATCGGGGGAGTCCACAAGTTCATCTAGAGATGCCTGTTGAAAGCCAAGAAGGACTCCTGGGCTGGCTGTGATCTGGCCCCACGGGCCGACATCCCACCCGGATCAGCTTTACAAATCAGAACACAGTCGGTGGCCTTTGGAGTTGGGGGACTCTGAATCTCTGACTTCTCGGCACAATTAATGTAATCAAATGTCTTTACATTCTTTTTGTGTGACTTCTAGAAGCAGAGGCTCACCAGAGGCCAAATAAAATCATTTATGCAGCATAGACCAAAGTAAGCTTCTATGGGTCCAGCAACCAAACCACAGCACAATCTGGAGCAAGAGAGCAACTAAGAGTCAGGATAGGTATTAAGAGATTTTACGAGCCATGCCATCCCGATAGAGGCTATGTTGGTTTGCCAATTTTTAGAAATGCTGTGTTCCTGTCTGACCCGCCCCCCTCCCGCCCCGGATCTGTTCTTGTTGACCTCTGTCCAGGGCTGGTGACACACTAGGGAAGAGTTCCATGGTTTGTTTTGCTTTTCGGAATGTGTTCTGAACAGAGGTTAGCGTTGGGTGATAGTGAGATATTGAAAAAATGGTATTTAGCAGAGATAAGATAGTCCAGCAGAGCCAGAGTAAGATAATTCAGACTGAGAGTCCATGTGTGATTAAAATATAAAGTTTTTACTAAATTCTAGCATGGGAAGGGTAACTGGGATGAAAATAACAACAGAGCATAATCAGCTACATCCTTACTCTACAAAGACAAAACTAGAAGAGAGAGATTATGGCTACTCTTCTTCTTCAGAACACCAAACAAAAACGGGAAGAGAAGCCATAAAATGGGAATATACCTTGACACTTTAGTCCCAATCAAATTCCTAGATCAGGGAGAAAATTCCTGGGCTTTCTACAGCTAAAGAACATTGGTTACATGAAAAACATGTGACTTCCTGTGAGTAACATAAACATTTAACCCCAGATATACTGAGTGTTTTCAACTTGTAATACCCAACAACCTACCCTAAATTCTAAAATAAAATCCTTGGGCAAACATTATAGATCTTGTTCTGCCACGAATGCGCAACAAGTATCAAATGGTCAGACTTTCCAGTCCTTTTCAGATCCTGTTCAGGTATCAACCTTATCTGCCTTATACCTAGTGACAGGAGAGGCATGTACAAAATGGCGCACAGCAGCTTTTTGACACGAGCATGTCTCTGTGACATACCAGGGACATGTGCCTATCACATATAACAGCATACACATTTGACAGCGTGCTTGATACATGATGTTGATAATGGCGCAGAAAGGACACTGCATCTTCCATGGCTGTCTGTAGGGTGGATCCTACCACTATTCCACCATCCCATCAAGCAAAGTCTGAAGCTGGTTACCATTAAGGACATAAGAGCCATGCTGGATCAGAGCAGCGGTCCCTCTGGTCCAGCATCCTGTCTCACACAGTGGCCGACC